TCGCATCTTGAACTTCACAAGAGACCAAAACCCCCGCCACCCCCTCTGACCACTAAGTTTCATGTTTTGGTTTCTTATCGACTTTTTGGTTTCCGAAGAATCCTCGGTTTCCGAAAAATCCTGTTCGGTTTCCGAAGAAGACCTTTTGGTTTCCGATGAATCTTTTTTGGTTTCGGAAGAATTCTTTCATCGAGTCGACCTTTCATAGGGCACCAGGCCATGGTCCTCTGAGGCTCCCACTACTTGGTTGGGTATCCCAACTGGTTGGTGGTTTCGAACATGACTTTTTTTCCATATGTTGGGGATAATCATCCCAACTGACTTTCATCTTTTTCAGAGGGCTTGAAACCACCAACCAGCCAATCATTCGTTGCAACGAAGGACTTTGTCGGTCGTGATTTGGAATGATTTTTGAGAATCGGTGACTGTGTCCTCCACAACGTTGTTGGGCAAAGTCTTCTCATCATTTCTCATCCGCAGCTCCGTGCAAGACCAAAAAGGTGATGCACCGGCTGTGCCGTGCTGCTTTCTGGCTTTGTTCATGGCGTTGAGCCATGAATGGATACAAGGTGGTGCCCCATAGTTAGCTAAGTTGGTGAACATAACTCCAATAACTATGGTTTATGGTAGATATGGGTATGGATCAATACCTATTAATACCGTTTTTAGTGGGATGAACATCCATTTACCAGCTATTTTGATGTTCACCAGGGGTACAAGGTTTTGACACACTGCCATATATACTTACTATGGTTTATAACCAACAAACATAACTGGGGGTGCACAACCTTGTAGAAATTGGCTGGGAAATTGGCGGCTCGTACGACACAGCTGGCATTCGTTGTGACCATCTAAGATCTGGTTTGACCCTTGGCAGTTTGCACCATGTTTGAAGTGTCTTTGAAAATACGCCAAAGTAGTAGGGAGTGGACCTGGGATCTTCAAACTTCTGCGAAAAGCTTCAGGACCGCGGGGAGACCACCCACTAACTGGCCATGTCGTAATTTTGTCCGCCACTCACTTGAGTTGTTTAGTTTGTTCCAATGGCCATAACCAGAAGAAAAGCCAGGGTTTCCGCTCAAGATGTTCTTCAAACCCATTTATTGAATCTATTTGTTGATGGTCTTCCGATGATATCCCATTACAACCCCCTGGATTTTCCAATTATGTTCTCGTATATTTTCATGATTGATGGTTAAACCACTACTATATAAATCTCATCTAAATGTTACAATACTTCCTATAATGGACTATATTCTGTGGCCACTTTCTCACCATTGTAAGACCGCGATATTGAACTTAGTCAACTGATTTCCTCGAAAAATTCTGTCAACAATGCTCTCCAGGAGTTTGAAGAGTCTCAGCGACAGGCTTGGGGGGTAGATGTTCACTGCAGCATAGAAACAAAGGGAATAAATGGCGGGATATGGGGATGTAACCAGCAATTTGGACATTTAATGGGATGATAAAATGGGGGTACCCCCATGACTTAGGAAACCTCCATATGGAGATGGATCAAGACCTATGAATTTACCAGCTATTTTAGGGTACCTTCCGGATGCCAGGGGCCCTTGACTCACTTGCCATGTGTTTTTTTAGACCATTAGCAACCCACAGGATCTGTCGTGTTTACGTTTTATCATCAATAATATCCTTGTGAGATTCATGGGTACTTGATCTTTACCAAATGGGTACTTCATCTTTACCCAGCGCTTGTTGTGCTCTTGTCTGCATGAAATGCCAACTTAAGACCTGAAACATCCTGACACCATGACCTAAAGACCTGCGATAGGTCTGGGATCGCGGCCGCTGTCATGACTCGCGTGAAATACCTGCTGTTTGTTCTGTGTCTCTTGATTTTGGTAAAAAGGAGTATTCCTTAACAAACAAACATACATAGGTACATGCATGCATACATACATACAAACATACAATCATACAAACTTACAAACATACAAACACACAAACAAACATGTGTAAGATTGGAGCCATTACCCTTTTGCAATCAGCCAAGAACATGTATTCCATCACCATATTTTTCATCCATTGGGTGGCGAGATCAGGTGCAACCCACGGTGCGTGGGGAAAAGAAATTGCCCAAGACAGCGCAAGAGCTTCTGAAAGAGATGGCTGGGAGGCCCAGAAGTTACCCCCCAATTCACAAAGTGTGCCCTGAAAATAGATGGTGCCCCCCGGTTATGTGTTTTGGTTGATAACCCATCTAAATATTCATAAGTATCATACACAATTGTTATTATAATTCTGTTCACCAACTTAGCTAACAAACTGGGGCCCCATGCTGTGAAAATAGCATTTGTTTAGTTGAACACAACCAACACCTAACTCAGCGAAGAGTCTACGTGAATTTGCAGCAGGGTAAGAGTTAATCTGCAAGGATGGTGATGATGATGGCTTGTAGCAAATGAAGCATCAGATTATAGTAGGCTATATCCCTGGTGCCGGATAAGTCAGATTAATTCAGATTAATCCACTTATGACTGGGGTTCACTTAGCTACTTACTAAGTGACATGAACCAACAAAAATTGGCAGTACGTGCATTGACGATTAAGAGTCTTAAGAGGTATGTTATGTTTGATTCCAATACTGATTGGTGGTTTGGAACATGGCTTTTATTTTTCCATGTATTGGGAATGTCATCATCCCAACTGACGAACTCCATCATTTTTCAGCGGGGTAGGCTCAACCACCAACCAGAGGCTTTTGAGTTTAGAAGCATCATTTTTCTGGGGGGGAAAATTCATTGAGAAAAGTTAGTCCCAAAAGTTTTCCCAAAAGTTAGTCCCAAACTTCAGGCTTGGTTCATGATTTTTCTCGGAGTGTTATACTCTCCCATATTCATTGGGGATTCCCTGCTGATCATGCTGCATTTTTCACTGCGAATCCCGTGATAAAAACCGCGAATCACTGCAAGGGATGGGATAGGGATGTTGTTAGTAAATCAATAATAAACCACCCATATATTGATGCTGGTTGGTGGTTTGGAACATGTTTTTCATATATTGGGAATGTCATCATCCCAACTGACTAATATTTTTTGAGAGGGGTTGAAACGTCTGGCTAATATGGTTTACGCTGAGGAACCATATTGTTGGAACGGCTAAGGAAGCGAAATAACTGAGCTGTGATCTACCCTGTGGTCCGGTGCGAAGCGGTGCGAAGCGCCAAAAAATGTCGTGCTTTTCAAAGTCTTTAACTTGGGAGGAAAAAGACACCACTTGAATCTTGACCCATGGTGATTTCAATGGACCTCCCTTAAGGTTTCACCTACCAGTGACCAGTCCGCAGAGAAAAAAGCCACAGCTTCACCCGTGTTGGTTGGTTTCTGGGGCCCAAGACATTGGGGATTATTTTCGTCCGACTTCTCAATCGACCAGAAAATTTTGGGGATTGACCAATATGACAATAGGATTATGGTTGGTGGTAAATCCTTATATCTCCATGTTGTTGCTAATACTCCCATATCCCATGAAATATTCCCGATATCCCAAGAATGCCTGGCTATACCTGCCAAGGACACCAGATTTAAATCTAGTCGACTGATTTCGCCCGGGATCTTTTGTTGGGACATATCTAGCTTGAATATCACCTGATTGTTGAGAATATAAGCGGATCATCCTAAAGTCCTAAAGTAAAAACTATCTAACATTACCATATTTCAGCTTGGTGATCTCTGTAATTTGCTCGTGTATATGTCTTCTAAGTACCTAGAACAGTGGAAGAGGTAGATAAGATCGCCAGAATATGTAAATCGCGCCATCAATCAATCTCAATCAACAACATCAACAACATCATCAACAACAACCAACAACAACTAACAACAACCAACAACAACCAACAACAACCAACAACAACCAACAACAACCAACAACAACCAACAACAACCAACAACAACCAACAACAACCAACAACAACCAACCAACAACCAACCGCAACCAACCACAACCAACCACAACCAACCACAACCAACCACAACCAACCACAACCAACCACAACCAACCACAACCAACCACAACCAACCACAACCAACAACAACCAACCACAACCAACCACAACAACCACAACCAACCACAACCAACCACAACCAACCACAACAACCACAACCAACCACAACCAACCACAACCAACCACAACCAACCACAACCAACCACAACCAACCACAACCAACCACAACCAACCACAACCAACCAACCAACCAACCAACCAAGCAAGCAAGCAAGCAATTAAGGAAGCAAACAATTAAGCAAGCAAGCAATTAAGCAAGCAAACAATTAAGCAAGCAAACAATTAAGCAAACAAACAATTAAGCAAACAAGCAAACAAGCAAACAAGCAAACAAGCAAGCAAGCAAACAAACAAGCAAGCAAGCAGCAACAACAACAACTACTACTACCACCACCACCACTATTTCTACTACTGCTGCTGCTGCTGCTACTGCTACTGCTACTGCTACTGCGACTACTGCTGCTGGGTTTGTCTCACTGGTTAGTCGCCATTTTCCGCATTAAAATTGGAGCACGCAAGAACGGGTCATATCTAAATATGGAGACGATCTCGTGAATTGTATGATGACCTCAGTTGTCTTAAAACAGGCTGATTTTTGGGTGAATTTTGTACATAGCATTCAGCAAGATTTATAGAGTTGCTGAGATAACGTCGTGCTCCCTGGTTTTAAGTTGGTTTGTAAACCTATCTAACTATATTGATAATCACCAGAAACCAGAGTTGACATAGGTATTCACCAACTTAGCCAACAATGGAGCACCAGCTTGTAGGGATTGAATTTGAGCCTTGTGACTTGTTGCGGGTCGAATCAGACACACAATTTTCCGTGTATTTTTTTGAGTGGGACCTCTTCTTTTTCGGCATGCCATTTAACATGATGCTCTAGATTTTGGCATATCCCCCATGTACATTGGATAAGACCATTTTCCTGGCACAGTTTAGCAACACTGTTGCTGGCACTATGACCTGCAACACCAGATTGGGGCTGCCATGGATTCTTTTACCCACCCAAACTTCACCCAAAAAACAGCAATCCCGTCGGCTCAAAATTTGTGACCAGGGGTTGCAGTTTCTATAGACTATCTAACTGCCCGTCCCAAAAATTGGCGTCGGATAGCACGATGCGTGGTAGAAAACGATGGTCCAATGACGCCTTGCTTTGGAACGGGTTTCCGTTCCGGTGCTTGTGGTGCCTAGACTTTTGGTGGTGGGTTTGGGGAATCACAAATCACAAATCAAAATGATCCATTATCATCCAAGAAAATCATTTTTGACACATATATATATATCCAATATAATATGTATCTGCTCAGATGTGGGTTTGCCCCATTTTTTTTCCGGGTGAAGCTGTTTCTGGTGTAACTGATCAAACCTTGGCATGGCTACAAACTCATCTCTTGCTGTTGTTTTGATTGGGGATAGGGGATATATATGAACCGACCCCAGAAAATTTTGACATTTTTTTGCATGCCATCTAGCAATATACATGATTCTACATGATATTTTTCACTCTCATCCTTCTGTTGGTTTTCCCAGATGATGCTCCCACAAGGTGGTGCCCCCTCCAGTTATGTTTGTTGGTTTATAAACCAGAGTAAGTATAGATATATGGACCATAAACCATAGTGAAATTAGAGTTATGTTCACCAACTTAGCGATTCCGAACTGGGGCAACACCTTGCAGTCCATGAGATTTATGTTCAGTTCCCTTGTCGATGCTTGTCGAAGTTCATGTTGGGTGGTTGAACCTTCATTTTTGACATGTCCAAGACTGAGTCACGTGTGAAAAAATACCATCTGGTTATGACTAACACAGCCATGGTATAGATGGCCCATTTATAGATGGTTTACCTATTAAAAATATGATTTTCCATGGCGAACTGTTAAATAACCAGAGGGTACCTGTGTTGGGTGGAAAATCCATGCCCATTTAATGGTCATTTGGTCCATGAAAACCATCGGATTGTCTCCATTTTTGGCCCAAAAATTGCATGGATTTAAATACTAAGAAAAGCACAGTTTGCACGTCCAGGAGGGCCGTTTTTTGAGTTCAGATGACCCGTTAGATCTTCACTATATCCAAATTTTGGGGTTAGAATACTCTCATTCGTTGTTGAATGCTTTTCATTTCAGGCTTTAATCCTTATGATTCATACAGATAGGATTAGCATCATGTTCTCACTATCTCCCTTGCCAAGAAAATATTACCATCCTGATTAGATTATTACCATGACCTTTCTTTTTGAAGCGAAATTCGCTTAAAAACACCGTCGTTTTTTGGTGAGGTTCGTGGTTCAGCTCTTTATGGGGCAAGCCCAAGAGCTAAATTGGGGAATCTCGTCAGGGATTTGAAGGAGAACGGGATATGATAAAGGGAAGAGAACGGGCAAATGATATCTGACACACATATCTATATATATATATTCTGACACATATAAATATATATATATATAGAATTGTATATTTACATATATATATATAATTATATGTATATATATACATATGTATATATATATACATATGTATATATATATACATGTGTATATATATAGAGAGACATATAATTATATATATATACATATATACTGTGTATGTAATGTATGTCTATTCAGATCTGTCCATCCAGCTGGTAATACTAATGATAAATGTGTTGATGAACGGGCATATCACATCCCCAACCAACTGGGTAGTTAAATCCTTTCGTTTTTGGCTGTAAATGGAAAGTAACCATAACCTGCAAAAGATTTTTTTGTGGACTACCAAAGATTAACCATGGGTTTAAGGGGAAGATAAGGGGATATGGTCGCGATATCCCCCCGCAAGTACTTTTGGTCTGGAATGGGTAGACCTCCAGTACTTGGAGCTAGGGTCTTTTCTACTTTCAGACCCAAAGTAGACTCAGACCCTGCGTATTCCAAACCTTGTGTTGCCCATGTTAACACGGTTTATGTTCCCAAAATGGAAGCCTACAATGTCTAAAAATTGGTTCCGGAAATGGAAGCCTAAAATGTCTAGAAATTGGTTCCCGAAATGGAAGCCTAAAATGTCTCAAAAAGGGTTCCTTGCTGCTTCCTTTGATTGAAAGGTTTTGCAGGTGTGGCAGAGTAGACCCTAAATATGATACGTAACATAATCCCATTCAAGACCCCATGCTAGACCTTCGTGATATGGCAGCCATAAATTTATGTTAATCTAAGCATTTCAGAGTAGACCTTGCCGTCCACAAATAGCATAAGGTCTATAGTCAAACAAGAAGATCATCACATGAAACCCTCAGGTAACTCCTAAAAAGACCTGTGTTTTGTTTGAAATCTAAAATCTAAGGCCCCTGCCAAGTAGCTGAGAGTATGAAACGGGATATTTTTTTGGGATATATGTGGTAATGATTTCAATGGGATAACCTACCCTCTGGTAAATCTTCACATAACTATGGAAGATCACCATTTGTAATAGGTAAATTAACTATAAATGGGCGATGTTCAATAGTTATGTTAAATTACCAGAGGGTAATTATAATGGAATATCTGGACAATGTTCTATAAACCACAAGCTAAATCTGAGTTATTTGGGTTCGAAATAGGATAAGTTGCTAGTTTAATGATAAAATGATGACACATTGGGAATGGGATCGTAACAATTTGCTGGGTGCATTCACAAAAAAATCTGGGCAGATTATCTTTCTGACCCCATGTTTTTCCAGAGCTATCCTGTCTTGGAGAGTATCCCAAACGACGAGAAGATGTTTTTATCGGCATGTGCATGAATCAAAAGTCTGCTTCAGCAGAATGGCTTGTGTTCATGGATATTCATCCAATCCACAGGCTATCACAATGTATTGATCCATCCCCAATGGATGAGCTGGTTTACATATCTGATACTGTAATATGTGTTGGATTTATGATGAACATATCGAACTAATGACTGTAGATGTGATTCTGAACCAATAAACTAAACATTGCCTGCGGGACCCTTTCTGAATGAAAAGGGTATATATATATATACATTAGTATATCCACCATTTTCCAGCATGTTTCCCAACTTGCATCGGGCACGTGCTCCTGCAGCTTTTCTGCCTACTGTTGGTGATAACTTTTCACGTGGTGCAACCCATTTACAGTGTCATCATGTGCTTTTGTCCAGACGCGGGACGAGCGCAAGAGACTTGCGTGGGTTGTGGGTAACTTGTTCCCACAAGTCCCGATCACCTTACCTGGTTGGTGGTTTGGAACATGAATTTTATTTTCCCCAATAATTAGTTGGGATGATGATCCAATCTGACTTTCACTCCATCATTTTTCAGAGGGCTAGGGCTCAACCACCAACCAGTGAGAGAGTGACCTTCTGTTCGCCAGAAATCTATGTGGTTAGTCTGAAAATAGGGCTTACCCAATTTAATGACCATGAATTTCAGCCGTGAGCTATACCTATTTAGCTTTGTCCCAAAAGAGAATAACTCTAAAACCTTTTTGCTTAATCACCATGAATCCTATTTTTTGAATACCCTCTGGTAAACTAACATAGCTATTGAAAATGGCCATTTATAGTGAGTTGTCCCATTAAAAATTGTGATTTTCTATAGTTATGTTAGTTTACCAGAGGGTAACCATGTTTGGCATACCCTATTTTCAGACACACCCATGCGGACGTCACCAACAACCGTTTTTTTTTTCGACATCAGATAGCTGCATTGCTAATAGATGATGAAGATGTTTGGCTGAAAATGGGGTATACCACCCAAATTGCTATTTTAATAAGAATAGGCATGATTAATCAATGAATTCAGCAACCATTGGATGGGGAAACAATGCAGCCTTTTTAGAGATTTACGATGAAATGATGTGGGTTCAACCCAGACACAATGAGAATTGACCATAGAATTTTCAAGATGGAAGCAAACGGTGTGGACTTATCCGAGGAAGCACATGATGGGTAGCTATTGTTGAACAGTTGAGGTAAGTTACTCTTTCATAATTACAAAGCCGGAAACCCACTTGCCATGGTCAAAAGATGATATACCCTCTGGATCCCTCTGGTAATTTAACATAGCTATTGAAAATAACGATTGTTCATAATCATCTATATATGTATATAAATGGCAATTGTTCATAGTTACTTCATTTCCCAGGGTGTATAGGTATGGTAATTCCAGCATCATGAACGGAATTCCTTAGTAATGGTGGAAATACACCATATTTTGACCATGGAAACGCATGATGGTTTTGGAGTTCTATGTTGCGTATGGTGTGAGTGCAACCTACCCCTGGCATGATTCTTTCTGGTGTTCCAGATCGTACTACACAGCCACTGATCTGTTTCTCTTCATTGATGTGTGATGTTTGTCATGTGGAGGCTTCCTGAAATGGTGGTACCCCCAGTCATCATCCATTATCATCCATTTTTGGGACTGGGATTTTCCATTTTGAACCAACTATTTCGGGGATCCCCCATCTATAGAAATCCCCATGTATTCTTCTTTGGTTTCCAGATATACTACAGGCAGATGTTGAAGGCGGTATCGGTGGTATAAAATAGAGCTGTTCCCTTGTAGAAAACATTTAGGTGAAGGCGGTACCTTTAGCGTTTAGTATGCGTTTCACAGACATTGGATTAAGCATGCCAGACCTTGGATCATCTACTAACGCTAGCGTTAAGTCGTATCAGCTCGTAAAAGTTGTATCGGGAGGCCGTGCGCCTGGAAAAAGTTCAAGTTTGGCATCACCACAACTTTTTAGTAATTGAACGATTTCATTGTTTTTGGGCTGTGCGCCTGGAAAAAGTTCAATTTTTGTATTGCGTTGATTTTTGAAACTTATATAATATTTGATCATTCTTTCAATGGGGCAAACACTGGTTGCTGCTTGCTTGCTGCTTGCTTGCTGCTGGCTGCTGCTTGCTGCTGCTTGCTGCGTTCCATGGTAACGGTGAATCATCAACCAAATATGTTTAGTAGTTTGGGTACCGGCGTTCCATTGGAAAGAGGCTTCTGGAAATGAGCGTTTTCACGTCTACAAACCGTAAGCGTTATGTAGCGTTTCCAGTGGGTTTCATAGTCCAGGTCCTGCCTTTTCTGACTTAGCCGTGACCACGGCGTTCCATGCAGGAACAGATATTCTAGCGCCACCGGTCCTGCCTTCAACGTTCACCTGTATATCTTGTTGTATCATGCCTGTGATCCCACGTGCATTTTTTTCAGCTTGGAAATCAGCAACGTGTTGCGGCTTGGAACTCCCAAAGGTGCCATTCCCAAATGGCAATGATCCTCTACTTCAAGGCCCAATGGTTTCAATGCACTCAGCTAGCAGTTCTATCCATTGTAGCAGCATATTCTGATTGAAATCATCAATGGATTGGTTTAAGGGAAAATCTACAGGAAATCATAGATTTTCCCATTAAATATGGGGTTTTCCTGTAAATTGTCCCTTAAACCAATCCATTGAAATCACATTGAAATCATCCCTTTTTTCTGACCTCTCCAGCAAGGAAAGACCATCGATGTGGCGGGGCGACAGCGAATGTTGACGCAGCGCATGTCGAAGGAGTTTCTTCAAGTTGCCCTTGCCCTTTGGATCAACGTGGTGAATGAAGGATATGAGGATCACCCACTTAGCTGGTTGGTGGTTTGGAACATGAATTTTATTTTCCATTTCATATATGGAATAATCCTTCCCATTGACTTTCATATGTTTCAGAGGGGTAGGTCAACCACCAACCAGCGAATTGTTTAGTAACCATAGGACCATAGTTATCGGTGAGATATGGGATATGAAAAAAGTCCACACTTCGGGGACTAACGAAACAGGTTAGGAGCTTTCAAAGGAGATGTTTTAGGCAATGGAAGATAACTGGTTGGTGGTTTCATATATGGGATGTCATCCTTCCCATTGACGAACTCATATGTTTCAAGATACTTAAAACCACCAACCAGATAAGTCCATAACATAACTATGGAAAATCACCATTATCAATGGGTAAATCCACTATTTCTATGGCCATGTTCAATAGCTATGTTAGTTTACCAGAGGGTAGGGGTTTCCATACATGGAGGAATCCCGAAAAAAAATGTTTGCTTGACGATTTCAATGGAAAATCCCAAACTAAAATTGCAAAAATGGATGACTGGGGGTACCCCCATGACTTGGGAAACCTCCATAGATAGGACCATTTTAACGGGTTGTCTAGATTACGTAAGTTGGGAAGCCCAGGAGCTACGAAGAGTGAAGCGAGCTCACAATTTGGGTATGGATTGCTGTCCCATGTAGACATGTGACTGGTTGGTTGTTTCAATCATGACTTTTATGACTTTCCATTCAGTTGGGAAGAATAATCCCAACTAACTAATATATTTCAGAGGGGTTGAAACCACCAACCAGAATTAGACTTCGAATTGGTGGTTTGGAACATGACTTTTATTTTTCCATTCAGTTGGGAATGTCATCATCCCAACTGACGAACTCCATCATTTTTCAGAGGGGTAGGTCAACCACCAACCAGATTAGTACATTGTTTTCCATTGAACATCATCATGTTCCATTGCCAGCGACGAGACTTCGTCGGTTGTGCACCAAGGATATCGATGCCGCCGATAACCGCGGGCGCATGTTAGGCGCCTGTCCGACATTCTTTTTGTGATGGAGATTTAAGGGTTTAACCTGAAAATTTTAAACAGCCCAGAATCCATTGATTACCCTCTGGTTATGACTAACATAGCTATTGAACATGGCCATAGAAATAGTGGATTTACCCATTAAAAATGGTGATTTTCCATAGTTATGTTAGTTTACCAGAGGGTAGTCGTCAGTATCTCCATTAAAATTGCCATTTTGGGGAGTATACACCATTTCCAACATACCCATTTGGGATATGTAAGGGAATTGGCTGGAAGCAGATTTTCAGAAGAAAGCAATGACATGAGATCACCCTGAAAGTTTCAAGATGTTCTGCCTCTCCATGCTGCTGCCCAAAGGGAATGTTTGAACGTTGTCACTTCATCGAAATGCGTTTTTCAAAAGGGCAAAAACTCAGTCTACACTGCACACTGGGGGGAGGTCCAATTGATAAACCATCAGAAAATTGTAATCTGACCAAGAAAAAACGGGAAAATCGAAAATACATGGCCATATATACAGAGCCCAGGAGGTAGTATAAAATACCAGTTCGTATACAGTATTTAAATGTAGTTACCGTATGTTTAAATGACTTGGATTCTGTATGTTTAAATGGCCGGGCGGGCCAAGGAAAACCTTCCCGGAGGTAGTCTAAAATACCTGTTCGTATATGTTTAAATCCATATATTTAAATGTACTTACCATATATATACATATATATATAGAGAGAGAGAGACACACATTATACAGTGTTTTTGTTTAATGGATATCGGAGCTTTTTGCAGGGGATTCAAGCCGCAGGTAGTATCAACTTGTTCAACGTGTCCTTGTATCAGCTCATCAACGGCACCTTGGCTGTGGGGCTTTCTTCTGTCGGGATGACGAGTGCTTAAATCTATGATTAAATCGTGGGATGTATTGGAACATCAATGGAATTATTGTTGAAATTCATAATTGTGGTTGATTATTGTTGAAATTCTTAATCATGGTTGATTATTGTTGAAATTCATGATTATGGTTGACAAACAACCAGAATCATTGAAATCCCCAGACTAATGTGGTAAACCAAATGTCATGTACACAATCCCAGCAACCAACCATGGCTGGGGCGATAGATAATCAGAAGTCTGCATGGGGTATACCCCATGCCATAAACCTCAAACTTGGGGATGATGAGAATGGCATTTGCTTTGCCACATTGTTGGCTTTTATTGGCAGAATTTGATGACTCCATTTTTGTTGGAACTGATCGTTCTTTCTTGGGATTTCTTGGGATTTAAAGTTTAACCAAAATCAGCGGATGGTGGGAGAATACTTCGCTGGATTGGTTTACTGAATACTTCGCCGCTGCTAAAGTTTGTCGTCGGTTTTTTCGGACCAGATTCTGGTAAAATTCGGGGAGGATCATCCATGAACTGGGACTCCCCAGTGCCATGTTTGATATGTTTGTTGCAAGGCTCTGTTCAACATGGGTACCCTCTGGTAAACTAACATAACTATGGAAAATCACCATTTTCAATGGGAAAATCCACTATAAATGGCCATTTTCAATAGCTACGTTAAATTACCAGAGGGTAATTCTCACAATTCTCACCAGGTGGTGCCCCTTTTTTGGCCACGCTTTTTCTCGCGTTCAGCAATTTGGGCCACAAAACTCCCACCATTCACGTTGTTTTAGACTGGTAGATATATCGAACTACTATTCCTATGGTTTTCACCAACGTTCACATCTGCCGAAAAGGGCGCACGGTATCTTGGGTCATTTCGTGGGGCCAAAAAACATGTGGATCGACCTCGCAATCTCATGAAATCATCGTATCTTCCAGCGCTATTGTCATGGGCTAATGGCTTAGTTCACTCAGTTACCCTCTGGTAAACATTTACATCACGGAAAATCACCATGTTATAGCTGGGTAAATCCACTATAAATCACCATGTTCAAGTTCGCAAACTGTAAACGTTTACCAGAGGGTAACTGAGATGAACCACACGATCATTTCATGTTGGAAGGAAGTGACCCATGGGCACAGGGCGGCCCAAAAATCGTCAGAACTGTGTCAACTTGTGGCTCTGCATGAAAAAAATTAGAAGCCCAATTCGAAAAATGTGTTTTTCACATTTTGTTCTACAAACATCTAAAGAAATGGATTTGGGTTGTGTGCTTAATGAATGTTTCATTCCCTCATATGTTTTTTTTTCATGGCATGGAGTGTGGCCACCATGTAAGCATGGTGCTTGCCATGGCACTTGCCATGGCAAGCCCTGCTTGGGTCATGACTAGAGTCTAGAGGATGGACTCCATGATGGAAAAATCGTTTGAATTTCTGGATGGTTCCCCAAAATTATGGATAAATAATATATTGTGGTTTCCTAAGATAAAGGTACCCCAAATCATCCTAAGTTAGATAGACTATGACTTAGTATTGAAACCCATGGTTTTGGGGATCCCCCATTTTAAGAAACCCCCATATGGGGGTTTCCTAAAATGGAGGTACCCAAAAATGGATGGTTTATAAAGATATAAAGGAAAATCCTGTTGAAATGGATGATTTGGGGGTACCCCCATTTCAGGAAACCTCCATATGGGACTATATGGGGATGGGTCAAAACCAGTTGATTTACCATGTGACTGGGGGAATAACCATCCCAGCTAACCAGCAATTTTAGGGTAGGGGACCAGGTTCTTGACCCATAAAAAAAGATCGGTTTTGACCCATACCAAGATTGGTGATAAATATATGGCAACCACGTTGCTGGAAAATTCACTGATTCCGTTGGCGACTCTCCAGCGTTTAGTACGCGTTTAGTACGCATCGGTTTGATTCCCGGAGTCACCAGTTTGTTGGTGAATGAAGACCCCATGAATACTACAGTTATTGAGTACTTATCTGGTTGGTGGTTTGGAACATTTTTTATTTTTCCATTCAGTTGGGAATGTCATAATCCCAACTGACTTTCACTCCATCATTTTTCAGAGGGGTAGGTCAGCCACCAAGCAGTTATCATAAACCTCATATTTCCTGTAGCTACGGAGCCGCTATTCTCGCTTCAAATTCTCACGAAGATTCCCATTGGGAATTCCCATTGGGATATCCCCATTGTTTCGATGAAATCGCTATGGATCCGTCCATGGGTGCTTGTTGGTTTAGACCCCATGAATACCATATAGTTGATATAGTTGGAAGATGTTGTCCATTTCCATATATATCATATATAATGTATTCCATATATAATCAGATAACTCTAATACCATATATATTATGTATCATAAACCATACCCTCTGGTAATTTAACATAGCTATGGAATTTATCACCATGTTTCATGGGAAAATCCACTATTTCTATGGTGATTTTCCATAGCTTTTTGTATGTTCACCAGAGGGTATCTGATTGGTGCTTTGGAAGATTTTTTTCTCATCTATGGGATGATCCTTCCCATTGACTTTCACTCCATCATTTTTCAAGATGGGCACATTGCACCACCAACCAGACTGTATCAAAAATCTATATATTTACTATATAGTTATCATGATTCATGTGTGTGGAGGGATCCTAGATTTTGGGGCTACCATACAAAATCATCATCCATTTTATGTTGTTTGGGATCTTCCATGTTCCCAAATCACCATATCAGATATATCCAGGTCTTAGGGGTTACCCCCAGAAACCATGGCGCTTCCTGTCCGCGCCAGGAGATTCTGTCACAGGGATTGTGGGCACACCGAACCACTTGGTCGGCAGCGGCCTGCAGCTCGATGAGGAGAAAAATTCCGGATTGTTTCAAGGGCGGGACTCGAGTCACTCAGGTGGTGAAGATTTGAGTGGAGTATGGATGGATTGGTTTAAGATTTTAGCCTCTGGTAAATTAACAGTTTGCGAACTGGAAAGATCCACCATCTTTAAGTTCGGTAAATCAACGAAATAAATGGGCCATGGCTTCAATAGCAAACTGTTAAATTACCAGAGGGTAAGGATGTTTCAGATAGTTTAAGGGTGGAGATCTACGGGAAGCTGGGGGGTTTACCCAGAAATCGAAGGCTTTCAATGCTTCCAACGTTCCAACTAAGCCGAAACCGCTGGAGAGATGATTCTGGTTTTTGCCAGTTTTTGCCATTGAAATTGGATAAAATTGGCACCCCTGAAGAACTCAATGGATCTCAATGGCAGATACGGAATCAGTGGATGTCAGTGGAAAGTTTCCTGAGTCCATCAGGCTTCGAAGCTTGGCACCGGCTGAATGTGACCCGTAGGGATTACCCTCTGGTAAACGTTTACAGTTTGCTATTGAAGCCATGGCCATTTATAATCATTTAGTGAATTTAGTTCGTTGATTTACCCAGCTATAAAATGGTGGATAAATTCCATAGTTATGTGAATATTTACCAGAGGGTAATTAGGAATCTCTGAAATATCTGTGGTAAATACCCTCTGGTAAACATACAAAAAGCTATTGAACATGGCCATAGAAATAGTTGATTTTCCCATTAAAAATGGTGGATCTTTCCATAGTTTTTTGTTAACGTTTACCAGAGGGAACCAAGCCTTGGTTTGAACATGGACCAGCTCGAAGCCATGCATCTTTTGAGCAAACATGCATGATTTTCCATGGCTATGTTAGTCATAACCAGATGGTAATTCCAAAACTAGGATTAATATCTCAGAATATCAACTTGGTTATCATGCATCCCACTATATCAAGACTATATCCCCATTTTACCCCCCCTTTTATGGTTGGTCTACTACCCAGAAAGCATCAGCTGATTCCAGAATCCGTGTCCGATTCATGGCTTGTTTTCCCTTGCTGAAAGACTATCTTTCAGTAGCATTCAGCGAGGTAAAGCCTTGAAGAAGAAGGGCTTAATCATCTATTCCTAGGTCAAGCGACTAGATGGGTAGTTTTACTCATCCGCTGAATCGTCTTTTGGTATGGGATTATCATGGATTATCGAGCAGTTCACCAGCTACTCCCTCGAGATCAACAGTGGTGCCAGTGATGTCCCCTTTCCATATAAATTGGTCAGTCGATCCATGCCCAGTAAGTACATCCCCCACGATATCCCCATGTCAATTTCCATCCATTCGAACCGGTGGTTTTTCCCATGGGAAATTCTCCCAATCCCGAGTTGTTTTTCAGCAGTACCCTCTGGTAATTTAACATAGCTATTGAAAGTCACAATTTTTAATGGGAAAATTCACTATAAATGGTGATTTTCCATAGTTATGTTAAATTACCAGAGGGTAAATTCCACAAAAATTCAGCCCCGTCCTCGCCTAGGGATGAGGTTGTGAGCCTCTGGAAGCCTTTCTCCCAACTACTCTTGAACAACGTGGACACCATCCGAGACGCTTCAGGGCACCTGGGACCTAACCGTTAAAAAAAAAGTGTTATCACCAACCAAGCACAATACACCAACCAAGCACAATATAATGTGATACAAACTGTATAATTACTACCACTAGGCTTAAGTCGTATCAATCGACCTGAAGTCGTATCACACCTGCGTGCGCGCAGTGTTTCGTATAGAATTTGATAGTTCTTTATTTGATGGGTTATTGATTCGAACACTTTTTCATCGCTGTGCGCAATGTTTTGTTGACATGATTCTATTTGACCCTACTAGCCCTAGCGTTAAGTCGTATCAGCTCGTAGAAGTTGTATCGGGAGGCCGTGCGCCTGGAAAAGTTCAAGTTTGGCATCACCACAACAGAAGGCAGAGCTTATGAAACATTCAAGCGGATGTTGTTGATATGATGATGTTGCCCATAGCTATTACATGAAAATCTATGTTTGTTAGGAAACAAAGTTAAAGATCTGGGAGGCCGTGTGCCATGGTGATTCCTAAATATATCCTTTGAAAACATAGTTTAAACATATGTGAATACCTCAGTGTGCGCAATGTTTTCTTCATTTTTGGAGATATAACAACATTCCTTGAAAGCCGGTGTGCCATTGGGATTTTGATATTTTGATGTGACTTTTGCCCAGTTGATGTGACTTTCTTCCAACTCGCTGTTACATGGGGTTGATGTGACTTCTGCCCAACTGATGTGACTTAAACCCTTCGCTAGTATGTAATATAATGATATGTAATGTGTGTGTCTGGTTGGTGGTTTCGAGCATTTTTTTCCACAGTATATGGGATAATCCTTCCCAACTGACTTTCATATGTTTCAAGATGGTTAAAACCACCAACCAGTAATGTGTGTGTATGACATTTATATAGGGTATATTCCCAATTATAGCCATTTAATAGGGATAATGATCAGCAAAACCATTGTGTTGCAAGCCATCCAACAGGATGAGGATCTGGATAAAAATCAGGGGATTGAAATCACCAGAGATTTTTGTTTGGATTATATAGCTTAGATCGGCTTAAGTATATATATATATTATAATATACATATATACAGTATATTATGCGTATATATATATATACATAGTATATTATACATAGTATATTATACATAGTATATTATACACATTATATTATGCATAGTATATTATACATATTATATTGAAATCAAGTACATTATATATATATATATATGTATATACATAGTAGATGATACTCTTATGGCGGTTGTGTTAAAAGTTGCGAAGCCCACTCCATTCGATGGTTTTAAAATGTTTACAACCTAATTTTCTGGATGAAAATTGCCATAAAATAGTGCATTTCTTGTTTTGCTGGTGAAATGGTGTGCAAATGGAGTATAGCCGCTGATCGTGGAAAATAATCTCTATTCTGATAGACAAACGCGGCAATGGCAAATCCCACACTTGCAGCTGATGCAGCCAATTTCAAGAAAGGATATTCCGCTGAATTACCACAGTGCAATCTTTGAGCCTGTGGAGTGACAATCCAGTCCATGTGTTCCGGGAAAAATGCTGTTCCTTAGTGAATGTCATCGTCCCTGCTTTGTTGCAGGCGTACTAATAGATACCCTGTATGGGGAATTTCCATGTTTGGGTTGGGTTCTTTCTTGTGAAGCCCATGTCATATATGGTGAGTTACATGACATTTTTTTGTTGGTCAATGTCCCCATGTCATTTATAACCCATGACGGATCCATGGTGCTGCTATATATGGTAACATGGATCCCATCAATATACCCTCAATGTTAGCATATATACCATACATGGATCCTATGGGTAATACTAAGGTGCCTCTCGAAATGAGTTAAAAAATGCCTCTCGAACCCCCGCAATGTTTTGGTGCCACGTGTGACGACAAACCATTGGTGGTTCTATTTTGTGCAAACCTTGATGAATGATTGGTTCATAGATGTTCATGTTCAATCATGCAGGAACTGAAAAAGGGCCACTAGTTATAATTTGAGCCATGCAATTGGGACCTGAAATATGGCTCAATCATCACATTGGATTCTAGAGATGATTTCTCTCTGTGAAAAAATGGAACAGTTCACATATGTTCACATCATTTGGGTTTGTTTGACGCTTGAGGAAAGCTCCAAAAATCTACCGGCTTCGAATCTTAGAGCATCATTTTATTGGGAATTCATTCCCAGCCCTCCATTTTTTTATATCAACCCGTTCTACCATGCGGCCATGCTGTTTTCAGGTCAGGAAACTCCTAGAATTCCTTGAAAATTCTGCAGGAAACTCCTAGAATTTTGTTGAAAAAGCAACCAGGGGTTCGGGTTTTCAGATTTTCCCAACAAGACCAATCCATGAAATCTTTCCGTTGATCTTCAGCTGATATCCCGTGAGGAAACCCCGTCTGCATAGTCCCATGATTTCTTTCCCAGGATTGATGGTTAAACCACTAGATACCCACAAGATATCTGACAATACTCCCTATATTTCACTATATATCCACTTCAGAAAACCATGAAAAAAACTTGTTTTTTTTTCTCAGGTTTGTGGACATGAACATCATATCGATGGTCGAAGCACAAAATGTGCCCGTCTTGGTCAAATCCAACGTCGTGGTCGGCAGGCCACGTGCGGTCAACTGGATAGGTTCATGTCATCTGTAGGTAACCAGGAGATGAACTATCAAGATTTGCCATCCAGAGATGGAAAAAAAACATGAGGAATTACCCTCTGGTAAACTAACATAGCCATGGGAAATGGCCCATTTATAGTTGATCTACCTATTATAAATGGTTTTTGTTTCATAGCTATGTTAGTTTACCGGAGGGTATCCATCAAACATTGTCAAACATGAAACATCAAACATGAGAAACATGAAACATGGGATTGACCATGATTTATCCATGACTAAATTGGAAAACATGATGATTTACCATCCGTTGGGGATGTTTGATGAGAAGGACAAGGACAATGTGGGCAACCCAATGCTATAAACCTACCATAACCTACCATTTGCGGATGGCTTATACCACCCATTTATGGTGATTTTGGGGGATGGTGTTTTTATTGATTTTAATCTGTTGCAAAAAATGGCCATACGATACATTCAGAGCACAACTTAATCTTTGCTATAAATGGGTAATGAGTAATGATATCATCTAATGGCGAATGTACTTATAAATTGGTATATAAGATTCAGTACAAATTGTTAAATGGCTATATACTATATTATATATTCACCTCTATCTCCAAACTGAATCAGCTAAATCCTTATCTTTTAGAGGGGTATGCTTGGGAACTCCCAGAATTGGAAATAGTTGTGGAAGTTTTTCCACATTGATGCTACACCTATGAAAAATCTGATGCTTGTCCATAGCAATGTGAAAAAAATCACAGCACCCAGTCATTGACGATTCATGTGCTGGCCATAGATGTCCCATTTTTTCCCATTGGTTGGTTGATGAAAATAGAGGGGTTTGGAGGTTTACCCCTTTAACAACAGGTTTCCAGAAGATGATAGATGGGATTAACCAGCTCCCGGCCCCTCTATTTTTACCAAAAGGACATTGACGAAATGTGCATTGTTTCTCCTGTTTATTGATGACATCACCATTGAATCCTCATTGTTTTCCCCCAAAGTTGGCTCGGAAATCCAGAAGATCATCGATCAAAGCTTGGATGGGTATAGTAATCAGTACAACTGGTCCACCATTTGCCTTTATCTTATGGGGATATATCAACCTATATCAACCTATAACCAGCAAAAACTACTTAAAGAACTTCTTGTTCTTATGGGGATATCAACCATGATCAACCTTTTTTACCAGCAAAAACTTGACCTGTTTTGCCATCTAAGATTGGCCATGTGTAATCTTACTGTACCCTCTGGTAAACTAACATAGCTATGGAAAATCACCATGTTTAATGGGAAACTCCACAATAAATGGCCATTTTCAATAGCTATGCTAAATTACCAGAGGGTAGATACCCTATTGATCCAAAAAAATGTGCGCCGTCAGCCTGGCAGGTTGGTCGATGCGGCCCAGAGTGCAGGTGCACCCACCAATGGTCTAGTTGTGGACACGGCTGGCCGCCAAAGAATGCCCCTTGGCAGCTGGAAAAACCGATGAAAATCCCAAGTGATCAGCGAACTAAGCAGTTGATGCTCCGTCATGTGAAATTACTGGAGTTACTGGAGGGTATGTGCTGTATATATAATATATATATATGTACATATAGATGTGATCTACTGGAGAGTATATTGCTGGAGAGTATATACTGTAAATTACTGGATAGTATATTACTGGAGAGTATATTACTGGAGAGTATATATATATGAATATGATTGGGGATTTGAACAAGCATGGAGGTGTTTTGATTAAAAGATGGGGTATTCAAACCACAAATGATAGTTGCTTGATGGTTGAGTTACAGTAATCGGATTTCAAGCTACTCGCTTTGATAAGGATTATTGGAAAGCTCTCTAAACCCTGGCTTCAATAACAGAAAAAAAATTGCACTCAGAGGGTCAGCTTAAGGTTGTTTTGCAACAAACTTGGTTAGATTTCGTATCATATATAGTATCTATTGAATCTATTTAAGACGCAAAGATATGAAATTTCAACCGATGCCAGATACATTTGGTTGAATTTTTCACGAGTACTTCCTTTAAATCCCTGAGTCACAAGCGAGCGAGCGAGCACGTCTGTGGCTGATGTTCAGATGTTAGATCCCCGGCACAAAAATCACCAGCCATTATCCTCTGGTAAACGTTTACAGTTTGCGAACTGGAAGCCATGGCCATAGTTAAATAGTTGATTTACCCAGCTATAAAATGCTGATTTTCCATCGGTTTTTATATGTTTACCAGAGGGTATGGTAAACAGCAGCGAAAAAACTGGGCTTGTAAGCCGCGAACATCAAGCCACGTGAAGCGCCGTTTCGACAGGAGACCAAAAGGCGATCAAATATATCCACCCTGGGATAGCCTCAAAGAGCAATGGGAAAGCTCTGCACTAAAAATCGGCATCATGTTGTGGAAAATCATCGCACTACATGGTGATTTGCTGGTGGAAGCCTTTGCCAAGTTTGACTTACTGGTGCGTTTTACGTAGGGAATGGATGAGAATGGGGGTTGCTGGGATGATTATTGATAGTTAGCCAGTGGATCATTCCCGAAAATTCCCTGCTAAGCACCAGTAAGTTGATTACCAGAGGCTACTTGATTTAGCTTCCTTTGCCTATTGAACACTGGATTGTCGCCATGAAAAGATTTCTGTAGTGTTTGGTGGTTTATTTGGATTTACCACGTAAAGAACTAAAGTTAAACTTGTTGGATCAACAAACCACCAAGAACGTGGGGATATGCTATTCCGAGATCGAGGTCCTCATTTCAGCTGGCAAAGTCGCCGTCTCGACTGAGTCGGGTTTTTGCACACCCCTTTGGCTGAGAAAAACAGAAGCTCTAAGCGATTCCAACATTCCGAATAAGTTTTAAGTGAGTTATAACCCCAGTTACTTATCCTACTTTACTCACTTACAATTTGGTTATAACTCGCTTGTAACTACTGATAATCGGGTTAAGTGTTTTACAGCTGGATTCCATTAACTCGGTGGTGTTCTGCAGTGACGTTTGTTGGTAAAACTGCTTTTAAAAGCCATTAGCTAGTTCGATATGAATCTATCATACACCATAAAATTCAGTTATACCAACTTGGCAATCATAAATCAGGCTATATTTTGTGGGGATATTCCCCTTACATAGGCCTAAAAAATAGGCCAAACATATATGGAATCGGTACCTCCGTCCTCAATCGGATCCTGAGATGGCCAGTGATTATTCCCATTTTCATCCATCTGAATCCCCCCAATTTTGTTGGTTGATCACCATTTTCCTATGGTAAACACCGCTGCAAACTGCCCATGGTCAACCGCAAAAAAGGCTGATCCAGAGAATGTGCAAAGAGGCCTTGCTGATCGGAGACTCGGCGGTGCCCAGTGAACCCCATCGAAATAGAATAAGTATATAATTAACTGCTTGGTGGTTTGGGAACAATTGTAAGCTTATATAACCAGATCTTTGTTGGTTTATAACCCCATCCAGGCATCATTATGAGTATAAGCTGGTTGGTGGTTTATATATTAAGTATCAGACACTAATTAGTGGTTTTTATAGTTATAAACCAACTAGCTGAACACATAAATGGTGAAGAATTGTGATTGAATTGTGACTTCAAGCATCTAAAACTGGTTGGTGGTTTCAAACATGGCTTTTATTTTCCATTTCACATATGGGATGTCATCCTTCCCATTGACGAACTCATATTTTTCAAGATTGTTAAAACCACCAACCAGTTAAGTATCATACCTGGTTGGTGGTTTGGAACATGGCTTTGATTTTTCCATTCAGTTGGGAATGTCATCATCCCAACTGACGAACTCACTCCATGATTTTTCAGAGGGGTAGGTCAACCACCAACCAGATATATTATGATATATTGTCAACCATCATTAACAATCATTAAGCATATATTAACCATCATTAACCATCATTAAGCATATATTAACCATCATTAACCATCATTAAGCATATATTAACCATCATTAACCATCATTAAGCATGTATTAACCATCATTAACCATCATTAAGCATATATTAACCATCATTAACCATCATTAAGCATGTATTAACCATCATTAACCATCATTAAGCATGTATTAACCATCATTAACCATCATTAAGCATATATTAACCATCATTAACCATCATTAAGCATATATTAACCATCATTAACCATCATTAAGCA